CTATTCCTTCTCTGGTAGGTCTTTACAACCATTATAATGACCTGTTCCTTCTCTGGTAGGTCTTTACAACCATAATAATGACCTATTCCTTCTCTGGTAGGTCTTTACAACCATAACAATGACCTGTTCCTTCTCTGGTAGGTCTTTACAACCATAATAATGACCTGTTCCTTCTCTGGTAGGTCTTTACAACCATTATAATGACCTGTTCCTTCTCTGGTAGGTCTTTACAACCATAATAATGACCTATTCCTTCTCTGGTAGGTCTTTACAACCATAACAATGACCTGTTCCTTCTCTGGTAGGTCTTTACAACCATAATAATGACCTGTTCCTTCTCTGGTAGGTCTTTACAAGCATTATAATGACCTGTTCCTTCTCTGGTAGGTCTTTACAAGCATTATAATGACCTGTTCCTTCTCTGGTAGGTCTTTACAACCATAATAATGACCTGTTCCTTCTCTGGTAGGTCTTTACAACCATTATAATGACCTGTTCCTTCTCTGGTAGGTCTTTACAACCATTATAATGACCTTTTCCTTCTCTGGTAGGTGTTTACAACCATAATAATGACCTGTTCCTTCTCTGGTAGGTCTTTACAACCATTATAATGACCTGTTCCTTCTCTGGTAGGTCTTTACAACCATAATAATGACCTGTTCCTTCTCTGGTAGGTCTTGACAACCATTATAATGACCTGTTCCTTCTCTGGTAGGTCTTTACAACCATAATAATGACCTGTTCCTTCTCTGGTAGGTCTTTACAACCATTATAATGACCTTTTCCTTCTCTGGTAGGTGTTTACAACCATAATAATGACCTGTTCCTTCTCTGGTAGGTCTTTACAACCATAATAATGACCTGTTCCTTCTCTGGTAGGTCTTTACAACCATTATAATGACCTGTTCCTTCTCTGGTAGGTCTTTACAACCATAATAATGACCTGTTCCTTCTCTGGTAGCTCCTTGCAGGGTTGCCCACCCCCAGGTCATACACAGGCATAACCTTGGATTCAGGTGTATCTCTAGGTCGGGTCTGGAACAAACATGCTAAGAAGATACAATCACCAGGTCAGGCCTGGTACAGACAAACCATGGTAACTAGATATGATAACCAAGATCAGGCCTAGACAAACCATGGTAACTAGATATGATCTCTAGGTCAGGCCTGGTACAGACACACCATGGTAACTAGATATGATCTCTAGGTCAGGCCTGGTACAGACAAACCATGGTAACTAGATATGATCTCTAGGTCAGGCCTGGTACAGACATATCATGGTAACTAGATATGATATCTAGGTTAGGCCTGGTACAGACACACCATGGTAACTAGATATGATCTCTAGGTCAGGCCTGGTACAGACAAACCATGGAAACTTGATATGATCTCTAGGTCAGGCCTGGTACAGACACACCATGGTAACTAGATATGATATCTAGGTCAGGCCTGGTACAGACAAACCATGGTAAATAGATATGATCTCTAGGTTGGGCCTGGTACAGACACACCATGGTAACTAGATATGATCTCTAGGTCAGGCCTAGTACAGATACACCATGGTAACTTGATATGATCTCTAGGTTAGGCCTGATACAGATAAACCATGGTAACTAGATATGCTCTCCAAGGTCAGGCCTGGTAAAGACAAACCTTGGCAACTAGGTATATCTAGGTCACACATTTACAGGTAATTAAACACCTCAATGCCATGGGGATAATTAAATCTAACCTCTGCCTTTAGAGAATGAACAAATTCAAACATTTTGAAAAGCTACATCAACTGATCATTTACCAGAAACAGTGACAACACCAGGAGTTCGTGACATGGGGAAGCATGTTCTGTTCAACTGGAAACACTTTTTTAAAATAGCCTAGACATGCATTTCAAGTTTTTCTTCACAACTTGAAAGTACATGTACTGGAAAATGTGACTGAAGATCACAGTCTTCATAACTATTTTTGAGATATTAGTAATATATACGACAAAAAAATGTGTAATTAAATGCAAGTACACGATACCTTATTTATAAGGACAAAAGTTTTTGTTGATATTTCAACAATAAACTCTAAAACATCATTTGTTGTAACAGGAATTTAGAAAGATTAACCTCTCATATCATTTTTAACTGAAATAACTATTTTCTTATTTGACGTGGTCCTTTCACAAAGCAACACCCCTGAAAATATCAAATGGTATGCACATTTATTATTATAAAATCATTTTTATGCATCTTTTGGTGAAAGAATTTAAAGAAAGTTATTTATACAACAAATGTTATATTTGGTATAACACTTGCTTAGTATAGTACAGATTCTCCTACTTTTTGGGGTTGAGTCTTGTCCGGGATTCAAACCCACACTGCCAGAGTGGTTCACCTCATCGCCAGCACACAAAGTCAGCAATCTAACCCAGCAACCGAGCCTTCCACAAAAATGAAAGTCCGACAACTGGTAGTCTACAATCTCATTAAAATCAGATCTTAGTTCTCGCTACCGCTAAACTAAGATCTGAGGACATCCAATTACAGGTCACGTCAGACCGAACTTGCGGGACTGACAAGAAGTTGACATTAGCCAATCAGAAGGCAGGTCTCTTGTGCTTTACGGCACTAATTTCAAATTGGCCACTAAGCTTCGAAACATATTTTGACAAATTCTCAATTACAAATTTGAAACATAAACAAAAGAACATTCTGGAATGGCTAATATATGGTCTACATTGTATGGATTCAGTCGTTAAACCCGTAAAAAGTACAAGAATCTGCATTTTATAAGAAAGTGTTATCCCAAATATAACATTTGTTACATTTGACCACTTTCTAAATGACATTGTGTGTTCATACCCACACAACAATCATTATATCTTTTCCAATGACAACATCATCACATATTTTAGTGGAATAACCTGTGATGACGGACAGTGGGCTTCAAATACTGGACCCACCTACAGCTGTGTTCCTGTGTATGTCATCACTTCATTCAGTTTGACGAAGTGCTTCATCAGTTCATGGAAATCTATCAGTGTACCGACAGTCCAGGGCGCTCTGCTCTCATCACCCGGCAGCCAGCTAGCCCCTGATGCTGTAACCCAGTCCTCGCTGAAGGCAGGTAAAGACACCACTGCAGACTTCAGCAGATGGGCTTTGTTGTCTCAGCATCAGGTTTCCTGACTGACTGACTGAAGATGATCTGGTTATGAAACACATTAGCATGGATCACGCACCAGAAATGGCTTCTGAAATTGCAATTACTAGGTAGTGATGATGTGTTTGATACTCCTCTGGTGGCGTCTGCTCAGCTTGGTGATGGCAAACACAGTGGCAACCATATATAACAAAAGTGATTGATTGTATGTTGAGACGCATGGGAAGAGATAATTATATGGGCGTCCGAATTTCAAGAATGAGAACTGTTTTGTTTGTGTGTTTGTTAGTTGTTAATGCCACACTCAGCATTATTCCAGCTATATGATGGTGGCAGAGACCATATAACAGATTATATGGTCTCTGATGGTGGTCTGTAAATAATAGAGTCTGGACCAGACAATCCTGTAATTACATCAACAAGCATGTGCTAGGCTGTCCCCTCCGCATTACATCACCAATCATGCTGTGGTGTCCTCATGACATCCCCAATCATTCTGGGGGTGTCCTCATCACATCACCAATCATGCTGGGGGTGTCCTCATCACATCCCCAATCATGCTGGGGGTGTCCTCATCACATCCCCAATCATGCTGGGGGGGTGTCCTCATGACATCACCAATCATGCTGGGGTTGGGGGGGTGGGGGGGTCCTCATGACATCACCAATCATGCTGGGGGGTCTTCATGACATCACCAATCATGCTGGGGGGTCTTCATGACATCACCAATCATGCTGGGGGGTCTTCATGACATCCCCAATCATGCTGGAGGGTCCTCATGACATCACCAATCATGCTGGGGGGTCCTCATCACATCCCCAATCATGCTGGGGGGTCCTCATCACATCACCAATCATGCTGGGGGATCCTCATGACATCACCAATCATGCTTGGGGGTCCTCATGACATCACCAATCATGCTGGGGAGTCCTCATGACATCACCAATCATGCTGGGGGGTCCTCATGACATCACCAATCATGCTGGGGGGTGTCCTCATGACATCACCAATCATGCTGGGGGGTCCTCATCACATCCCCAATCATGCTGGGGGGTCCTCATCACATCACCAAACATGCTGGGGGGTGTCTTCATGACATCACCAATCATGCTGGGGGGTGTCCTCATCACATCCCCAATCATGCTGGGGTGGGAGGGTGGGGGGGTCCTCATGACATCACCAATCATGCTGGTGGGTCCTCATCACATCACCAATCATGCTGGGGGGTCCTCATGACATCACCAATCATGCTGGGGGGTGTCCTCATGACATCACCAATCATGCTGGGGGGTCCTCATCACATCCCCAATCATGCTGGGGGGTCCTCATGACATCACCAATCATGCTGGGGGGTCCTAATGACATCACCAATCATGCTGGGGGGTGTCCTCATGACATCACCAATCATGCTGGGGTGGGGGGGTCTTCATGACATCACCAATCATGCTTGGGGGTCCTCATGACATCACCAATCATGCTTGGGGGTCCTCATGACATCACCAATCATGCTGTGGTGTCCACAGGCACCACTGATGAAGTCTTAGACTGGCATTCAGAAGTTGGAACATATATTCATGTACATGCATGTTCTGTCTAGCCTAGTGGTTAAAGTGTTCGCTCGTCACGCAGAAGACCCGGGTTCAATTCCCGACATGGGTACAATGTGTGAAGCCCATTTCTGGTGTCCCCCGTCGTGATATGTCTGGAATATTGCTAAAAGCAGCTAAAAAACATACTCACTCACTCACTCACTCACTCACTCACTCTGTCTCATCAGACACACAGCAGGTATTAACACAACTGGTAGGCACTTGAAGTCGACTCATGACTTTGATTCATGCTTTGTCTTGCAGGAGCCATGGCTCTATGAAGGAGTTCCGACATCCAATGAAAGAGGACACAATGGACAAACTATTCTTATCATCAAGCGTGGAGAACACTGACAACGTCTTCCCCTGAACTGCTACACGTCTTGATGGATTTCAGAGTCTCTACAATTCTGTGGATGTTTGCAGGTACAATGATGTTCTAAACCTCACATAGTGGATCTTAAAGGAGTTTTCCAGTTCTTTCAGTACCACCATATCCTGTTTAAGATTTTGTCATTGAGGAAATTGCTTAATGTCAAGCAACCTTATCCAAACTCCAGAAAGCAATATATAGAGAATCTCACCCTCGTGTCTTTTGATATCAAATATATCAACACGAGTTGGTAAAAGTGGAAAAACTCCAAGGTTTGCCAAGGAGATTTTTTCACTTTTATCAACCAGTGTTGATATATTTGATACTGAACGACACAAGGGTGAGATTTTATTTATCATCCCAAATCATTCTTCCAACTTTTTCAGTTTGTAGACAATAATAAGCAGTGTCTTAAGTGTAAAAAGTACTGTCAACAGCTTCAGTAGCAGAGCAACTTGTGATGCCATTTGATTGTGATGTCATGGTAACCAATGACGTCTGCAAAGCATTGTGATGCAATTTCATTACAGCGATTTCTACAGTGTAGATATTGCTACACAGGAGTGACTGGGTAAAGTGATCACTGGTTCAAATTTCAGAACTGCACTGATTCTAGGCTTGTACATGCATGAGGGTTTCAACAAAGATGTAAAGATCTAAGACCTGCATTACTTCTGGTTTTTCTCCTACATTAGCTGTGAAATACCTTTTGTTTCAGCACTGGTGGCACTGACGACCTTCCCTGCCAGCCATGCCACTCTACAGATGCCCCTGGGACTGGTGGAAACTCCCCTTGGAACAGAGACAGGAGGGGAGGTGATGCCAGAGTCACTGTCGGAGGAGAACAACCCCAATCCCCAATCAGCAGGGGGCCATGAATCGGAGGAGCACATCCTGAACAACCCCAACCCTCAGGTGGGCGGGGACCAGGAACACAACGAGCACATCCTTAATAACCCCAACCCTCAGGTGGGCGGGGACCAGGAACACAACGAGCACATCCTTGACCAGCCTGTCGCTGGCATCAGCAATGTGGAGGAGACAGACACTGGCATCCATGGGGCTCCTCAGTTTGTGCATGTGACCGACATGCCACAGATCGACCACCAGACTCTCAGTATCCGACCACTGAAACCTACCACTCCGACAAGCCTCCTGGCACCCACCCCAACCAGGAACATGTCAGAGTTGGGGAACAATACTGACGGGACATCTGCAGATGTGAACAACACAACAATGGGGAGATCTAACAACAGTGAGGAAGTCTCACCCAGACCAACATTCCCTGAGACAACAAACAATATTCTGCATTCCTCGCAGTCAGAGTATGTGTCCTCTGCTTATTTATCTTCACATCTTGTACCTACAAGAGTGACAGTTGATCAGAGTTCCACTATAGGGGCCAATCTGCCTGACATTCTCATTCCTCAACCAGATTCCAATCTAAAGCTGACCTCAAGGCCTATAATTGATGAAACAGAAACCATCAGTCCAGCACCTTCACATGGACCAACTCTGCCCTCAAGTGAGCATGTTATAGTTGGTTCCAGGGTCATACCAGATATCACCGTACTAGAAACCATGTCTTCAAACATTACTCTAACTCCTGTCACTGCAGGTGTTCATCCATCCCACGATGTTTCTCTGATATCCTCAACATCAGTCTCAGACGAAACAGGCACAAAAGACATCAAACAAAATAAACCACCAGACACAGCCACATATCCATACACAGATGGAGTCAGATCAGTTATTGATGAACAGACGTTATCCATACAGGACATATCCCCATCATCTAGCATCAGTAGTGGAGAGTCTAGTTCCGGTTCTCTGACCACTTCCTCCATGCTGACCAACTCAACAGAGGAAACAACCACATCTACTTCTACATCATCTACTCCTGGGACACCTGCTGAGCCTGTTGTGATCACCCTACCTTCTGTATCTCATGAGATTGTGATACAGAAGAACTCAACCTTATCTGTTGTTACAACCACCGCTGCTACCCCAGCTGCAACCACAGCAACAAACGTACACAACATAGAGACACAATCCACAACAACTGTGGCCAGAGTTTCCCAGAGCACATCTTCCAAGAGGCCCACAACAAAGCTGAGCACGTCTTCCCCTCCTACAACACTGCTAGTCAGTTTGTTGAGGAGCGGGTCAACATCCAGAGGGACCACGTCTTGGTCATCTTCGGCAGCTCCCCACACCACCAGTTCGACAACTGTACCAGTTACTACTATCAGAATATCCTCCACGACCAAGCACAAAGACAAGCCCCACCGTGGCGACTCTGACACCAACACAACAACCAGCAACAACAGCACGGAGATGCCAGAGTCTACCACTGCTGATGGCTCAAGTAGATTCAGTAGGAAGAAGACGCAGGGACCCCATGCAAGTAGGACCACACTGCCCAGTCCAACATCAAGCGTCAACAGTACATCAGCGTCTTCATCATCCTCTTCAAGACTTTTAACGACTGTAAACATCAATTCCACCTCTTACCACAGTGTTTCTCCATCTACCCAACCCCCAGTGTTTGCTCTGGTGACGCTGAAGATGTCTTGGCAGGACTTCTGCCCCAAGGAGAGGGTGTTCCGAGCAGATCTGAAGGATATCTTCCTTGAGAAGGCTGATCAGGATGTGACAACTGAACAAATAACGTTAATGAATATTGAACATTATGAATGTTTGGACCTAATGGCAGCCGAGATGCCTGATGACATCATCATCAGTTTCTACCTGGTGGACATAACTGGAAACTACGACCGACGCCTCACCATAGCCTGTGCCAGAGTTGTCATCCAAGGCTTCAGTACCAAGGTGGAGTCATTCTTCAAGGACAAGGTCAGTCTTCATTCATATCTCAGCACTCCCACTATTCACAAAATATTTCGGGGTGGTCGGGTAGCCTAGTGGTTTAAGCGTTCGCTCGTCATGCCGAAGACCCGGGTTCCATTCCCGACATGGGTACAATGTGTGAAGCCCATTTCTGGGTGTCCCCTGCTGTGATATTGCTGGAATATTGCTAAAAGCGACGTAAAAGCATACTCACTCACTCACTCACTCACAAAATATTCAGGCATATCAGGCTGTAGGTGTTTCATAGTTAAAATCATCATTACAAGAGGGGTTGATAGGTAGAAGAGTTCATTCATCAAGTAAAACAAACGGATTGGATTCTGCGCATACATGTGCCATCTGTTCTTGGAGCATCCGACCCATGAAGATCCGGGGTAAAATAGGTCTTCTGCAACCCATGCTTGCCGTAAAAGACGACTATGCTTGTCGTAAGAAGCAACAAACGGGATCAGGTGGTCGCTGACTTGGTTGATGCATATCATCGTATCCCAATTGCGTGGATCGATGCTCATGATGTCAATCACTGGATTGTCTGGTCCAGACATTGATTATTTACAGACTGACGTCATATAGCTAGAATATTGCTGAGTGTGGCGTTAAACAACAAACAATCAACAATTAATCTTGGTGCATCCTGCCATGATAAAGTAGCAGAGTCACGCATTTCAAAAGTCTCTCTGCGGCTTGCTTCTCTACCGGAATATATCAACAATAAAACAGCTCATGAAATAAAGCAGTTACCATGCATTATTTTTAGGAATTCAGAGCAGTAGCAATATGTAAGTTTCATATGTCCTATCAGAAGAAACAACAATTAGACAGTAGGGTACCAAATTTACTCTGTGGTTGGTGATCCCACTGATCCCCCTAACTTCAGTGGTGTTTGTCTGCAGCTGGTGGAGGTGAAGCTGAATACTGACCAACCCAGTGAAGGAGGCCACGTCACCCACATGCCAGAAGAGAAGGGGAGAGAGAGTCTGTTTGTCATGGAGCCTGGGATTACTATTGCCATAGTTATTGCCTCTGTGGGGGGAGCTTGCTGTGTGGCACTCATCATACTTCAGGTAGGCAACTAGGAGGCCACCTTAGGTTCAAGATGTACTACAGGTAGGCAACTAGGAGGCCACCTTAGGTTCAAGATGTACTACAGGTAGGCAACTAGGAGGCCACCTTAGGTTCAAGATGTACTACAGGTAGGCAACTAGGAGGCCACCTTAGGTTCACTGATGTACTACAGGTAGGCAACTAGGAGGCCACCTTAGGTTCAAGATGTACTACAGGTAGGCAACTAGGAGGCCACCTTAGGTTCAAGATGTACTACAGGTAGGCAACTAGGAGGCCACCTTAGGTTCACTGATGTACTACAGGTAGGCAACTAGGAGGCCACCTTAGGTTCACTGATGTACTACAGGTAGGCAACTAGGAGGCCAACTTAGGTTCAAGATGTACTAAAGGTAGGCAACTAGGAGGCCACCTTAGGTTCACTGATGTACTACAGGTAGGCAACTAGGAGGCCACCTTAGGTTTACTGATGTACTACAGGTAGGCAACTAGGAGGCCACCTCAGGTTCAAGATGTACTACAGGTAGGCAACAAGGAGGCCACCTGAGGTTCAGTAATACACTACAGGGGGGTCACTGCTGATAGGTCATACCATGTCTATTCAGACAGCAGTGTTTACTATGGAGCCCTCTAAGGTCCTATATAACGCTTTTTGTGAAGAAGGTTCTTAAATCATTTTCAAATGAATGTTTTCTTGTTTCTCTTTTTGAGATGTTTCTTATATAGTACTCTACAGCCTCACATCCCTTCCCCAGATTGTGGTGCGTAATCGCAACAAGCGGGTGTACCTGCCGGACTCCCGCCATCCCTCCTTCACCAGCATGGACTCCATAGCACTGGCCTCTGTCACCAAGTCTCGCCCCAACAGTGGCCTGTTCAACCCCGGCTTGGACCCTTCAGAGATGGTAAAGCCACCCTTATGGTTTAGACCGCCTCCGTGGTCTAGAGGTAGAGCTTCCGCCCGGAGATCCCCGGCCGCATCATACCAAAAGACGTTAAAAGATGGTACTTGTTGTTACCCTGTCTGGCGCTCGGCATTAAGGGGCTAAAACAAGGACTGGTCGGCTCGGAGTCAGTATACTGTGTCTGAGTGGGGTATCATGTTAAACTGTGGCATGGTATCTCAGTGGGCTATCACTATAAATCGGCATCAGTCCGGACTAGTACAAGCAGCCACACAAACACACACACGTACATGCACGTCGCTATATGAGTGCAATAATCTTGGACGCGACGTTTAACCCCATTCCACCACCACCTTATGGTTTAGTGGATAGAGCGAAAGGTTCGATCGCCAGCCCAACATACCAAAAGATGTTAAAAGAGGGAACTTATTGTTACCCTGCCTGTTGCTTGGCATCAAGGACTGGTCAGCTGTGAGTCAGTATACATGAGTACAGTGTGTGAAGCCCTTTTCTGGTGTCCTCTGCAGTGATACTGCTAAAAGCAGCGTAAACCTTCTTATTATGCCTCAAAGTGAGATTGACCAGTCAGAGAGCAGAATTACTAACCCTATATGAGCCTGTATACCATCAGTAAAAGTCCAAGATGGTTGTAATGACCTAATATGAGACCGTATACCATCAGTAATAGCCATTTTGGATTTTCCAATACCCACCTCACATATTTCACATATAAATAATGGTAAAGAAATTTGTTATTCGACACTGTTTAGTGTTTTAATATCATTAATTTTGATGTGCAAGAACATTAATGGGTTTTTTAAGATTACATTCATGACTTTATAAGAGTATATATATACCGTATTCGACGTAATAAGTGCCCCGCTCTAATAAGCGCCCACGGCGATATTTGCTAATATATGGCAAGTGAACAATCCCAATTGGCATCCCTTCCGATTGATCAATGTATACAAGACTTATTTATTCGTGTATAAAACGCACTCGTGTGTTATATGCACCCTTAATTATGGGCAATTAACTTCTCGAAAAATATATCTGTCGTATATAAACAGTTCAGACTGTCAGCATAAACCACGAAATTTATCTTTTAACTCTGTTTTTTCACCAAATTAATATTCTAATAAGAGCCCCCTATTTCTAATTTTGAGAGCGCCCTGGGCGCTTATTACGTCGAATACAGTAGTTATAATTATCAACAAGGTTTGGCCTCTAAGGTTTGAAGAGTAGTCTCCCTTTGACCCTTAACGTCAACGGTTGTTATGTGTCAAGTTTTTGTTTTGACATGACATGTGTGATATGGATACCAGATAGTGTAAACTTTTCGGCATAATTAATTTGTTATGGTGTCCTGGCCCAAAAAAAAATTCTGCTAACCTATTATGACACTATAACTAAAAATATCTCATCTTCTCAGAGATGGTAGGTGATAAAGGGTGCATATTTTGCCAGCACATATGAAGATTCTGTCAGATAGGTACAAGTTATACATAGAAAGCTTATTCTTTTCTTAACTGAATTTCTGTTTCAGTAGATGCATTGATATCAATATTTTTATGTTTCAGTAGACATATTGATATCAATATTTTATGTTTCAGTAGATGTATTGATATCAGTATCTTGTTTCAGTAGATGTATTGATATCAATAATTTCTGTTGTAGTTGATGTTTTGACGTCAATACCTTCTGTTTCAGTAGATGTATTGATATCAATATTTTCTGTTTCAGTAGATGTATTGATATCAATATCTTGTTTCAGTAGATGTATTGATATCAATATTTTCTGTTGTAGTTGATGTTTTGACGTCAATACTTTCTGTTTCAGTAAATGTATTGATATCAATATTTTCTGTTTCAGTAGATGTATTGATATCAGTATCGTGTTTCAGTAGATGTATTGATATCAATATTTTCTGTTGTAGTTGATGTTTTGACGTCAATACCTTCTGTTTCAGTAGATGTATTGATATCAATATCTTGTTTCAGTAGATGTATTGATATCAATATTTTCTGTTGTAGTTGATGTTTTGACGTCAATACTTTCTGTTTCAGTAGATGTATTGATATCAATATTTTCTGTTTCAGTAGATGTATTGATATCAGTATCGTGTTTCAGTAGATGTATTGATATCAATATTTTCTGTTGTAGTTGATGTTTTGACGTCAATACTTTCTGTTTCAGTAGATGTATTGATATCAATATTTTCTGTTTCAGTAGATGTATTGATATCAATATCTTGTTTCAGTAGATGTATTGATATCAATATTTTCTGTTGTAGTTGATGTTTTGACGTCAATACCTTCTGTTTCAGTAGATGTATTGATATCAATATTTTCTGTTTCAGTAGATGTATTGATATCAGTATCGTGTTTCAGTAGATGTATTGATATCAATAATTTCTGTTGTAGTTGATGTTTTGACGTCAATACTTTCTGTTTCAGTAGATGTATTGATATCAATATTTTCTGTTTCAGTAGATGTATTGATATCAATATCTTAATATCTTGTTTCAGTAGATGTATTGATATCAATATTTTCTGTTGTAGTTGATGTTTTGACGTCAATACTTTCTGTTTCAGTAGATGTATTGATATCAATATTTTCTGTTTCAGTAGATGTATTGATATCAGTATCGTGTTTCAGTAGATGTATTGATATCAATATTTTCTGTTGTAGTTATGTTTTGACGTCAATACTTTCTGTTTCAGTAGATGTATTGATATTAATATCTTCTGTTTCAGTAGATGTATTGATGTCAATATTTTCCATGTTTCAGTAGATGTATCGATGTCAATATTTTCCATGTTTCAGTAGATGTATCGATGTCAATATTTTCTATGTTTCAGTAGATGTATCGATGTCAATATTTTCCATGTTTCAGGCAGAGCCTTCATTCCCTGTGAACTTTGCTGGCCTTGCAAACAGATGTCTGGAGCCTGAAGTGCTGCAAGAGGAATTCCAGGTACTTGAGATATTGAAGATTCACATATCTTATTAACTCCCAAGATAAAAAAAGGTGTCCTATACTGAATGTGCCTGTGGTCTGTGATGGTCAGGTACCCTCATGCTTAACTACTGGTGGCCAAACTGATTGTTAACCCACAGTGAAAGATAGGAGGGTCTGTATCCCAAGCACCTCCTCGGTATCTAGACACAGGTAGACACATCAGGTGACTGAAAGGAGTGTTCGTACCCCCAGCACCTCCTCGGTATCTAGACACAGGTAGACACATCAGGTGACTGAAAGGAGGGTTCGTACCCCCAGCACCTCCTCGGTATCTAGACACAGGTAGACACATCAGGTGACTGAAAGGAGGGTTCGTACCCCCAGCACCTCCTCGGTATCTAGACACAGGTAGACACGTCAGGTGACTGAAAGGAGGGTTTGTACCCCCAGCACCTCCTCGAGATCTAGATACAGGTAGACATGTCAGGTGACTGAAAGGAGGGTTCGTACCCCCAGCACCTCCTCGGTATCTAGACACAGGTAGACATGTCAGGTGACTGAAAGGAGGGTTCGTACCCCCAGCACCTCTTTGGTATCTAGACACAGGTAGACATGTCAGGTAACTGAAAGGAGGGTTTGTACTCCCAGCACCTCCTCGGTATCTAGACACAGGTAGACATGTCAGGTGACTGAAAGGAGGGTTTGTACCCCCAGCATCTCCTCGGTATCTAGACACAGGTAGACACGTCAGGTGACTGTAAGGAGGGTTCGTACCCCCAGCACCTCCTCGGTATCTAGACACAGGTAGACACGTCAGGTGACTGAAAGGAGGGTTTGTACCCCCAGCACCTCCTCGAGATCTAGACATAGGTAGACATGACAGGTGACTCAAAGGAGGGTTTGTACCCCCAGCACCTCCTCGGTATCTAGACACAGGTAGACACGTCAGGTGACTGAAAGGAGGGTTTGTACCCCCAGCACCTCCTCGGTATCTAGACACAGGTAGACATGTCAGGTGACTGAAAGGAGGGTTTGTACCCCCAGCACCTCCTCGGTATCTAGACACAGGTAGACACATCAGGTGACTGAAAGGAGGGTTTGTACCCCCAGCACCTCCTCGGTATCTAGACACAGGTAGACATGTCAGGTAACTGAAAGGAGGGTTTGCACCCCCAGCACCTCCTCGGTATCTAGACACAGGTAGACATGTCAGGTGACTGAAAGGAGGGTTCGTACCCCCAGCACCTCCTCGGTATCTAGACACAGGTAGACATGTCAGGTGACTGAAAGGAGGGTTCGTACCCCCAGCACCTCCTCGGGATCTAGACACAGGTAGACATGTCAGGTAACTGAAACGAGGGTTTGTACCCCCAGCACCTCCTCGGTATCTAGACACAGGTAGACATGTCAGGTGACTCAAAGCGGGGCTTTCACCCCTTCTGGATCTGACAGGGACTATGCTTCGTGAAGCATTGTGAGTTTCACAACTACTTGCTGAGTATGGTGGAGCACACAACTGATTCACCCAGTTATCACAACACCAAGAAGTAAATATTCCAGTCAGGAACCGGTATTACTTACATATTGGACCGGTGATCAGTTACATCAGACACACTGCCAGCATAGCGCTGCTGAATACAGCACCTCGTTGTCACAGCATACAGCAGTAAATGTCCTAATTTGGAATTAGTTTTTTCTATATTAAATTGGACTTGAATAAATTTAAGATATAACAGCTTACATATGTCAAGCATAGGTCAAGCATAGGTCAAGCATAGGTCAAGCATAGGGAGTGGGGGACACGGACCCATGCATAGCATACAGGTCACAAATCAGCAAAGCTAAGCAATGTTGCCCTGGAGATTAGGTGGATAGGTGATGTTTTTAGGAACTTGACTCTGGAGAGTTTCTTGGGCTTCAATCCTGCACGACACTGAACAGCAGGAAAGTGACTTTGTTCAAAATACCATGCTGCTCATCAAAGGCAGCTTGGCTTGTATAATTCCCAGGGAGAATACAATTACAGTGCACGCTGTAAAGTAACAGACCCATTGGCCAGTGTAATATAGTGTAGCGCTTACAGAATGCTTTAGGGTGTGGTTTTGAACCATCAAAAAATACACATTATCATTTTGTTACTATATTATATCCTAACCTACATCTCCTCCTTGACTTTTCTTTTAAAAATGTCGGGTAGCCATGTGGTTAAAGCGTTCGCTTGCACACCGAAGACCCAGGTTCGATTCACCACATGGGTACAATGTGTGAAGCCAATGTCTGGTGTCCCCCGCCATGATATTCCTGGAATATTGCTAAAAGTGGCGTAAACCAAACTCACTCACTCTATCACTTTCAATGATGGCTGCTGTCACCTAACTTAAAGCTGCTTCTACCATAATTCCCAGAGGTGTCCGAGATGTAAAACAACAACGTACATATTGTCTGTGTTTGTCTGCAGTTTGTCCCCAACCTGACCCCACGGCTATCTACAGTTCCTGTGGGTGCGGAGGATAAAAATAGATATGCTAATGTCATTCCAAGTAAGTGGTTGGTTATTCAGGGTAGTTGAGAACACGTTTGCTGACCCCGGCCATAGTTGCAGATGCACAGCTCCGTTGCAACCCCGGCCATAGTTGCAGATGCACAGCTCCGTTGCAACCCCGGCCATAGTTGCAGATGCACAGCTCAGTTGCAACCCCGGCCATAGTTGCAGATGCACAGCTCCGTTGCAAACACCGGCCATAGTTGCAGATGCACAGCTCCGTTGCAACAAGACACTGTGTGGGAGACTGTTCCAAGCACATGTTACAGGTCGCTAGACACATGATACAGGTCACTAGACACATGATACAGGTCACTAGACACATAATACAGGTCACTAGACTAGACACATGATACAGGTCACTAAACACCAGGTCGCTAGACACATGATACAGGTCACTAGACACATGATACAGGTCACTAGACACATGATACAGGTCACTAGACACCAGGTCGCTAGACACATGATACAGGTCACTAGACACATGATACTGGTCACAAGACACATGATACAGGTCACTAGACACCAGGTCACTAGACACCAGGTCGCTAGACACATGATACAGGTCACTAGACACATGATACTGGTCACTAGACACATGATACAGGTCACTAGACACCAGGTCGCTAGACACATGATACAGGTCACTAGACACATGATACTGGTCACTAGACACATGGTACAGGTCACTAGACACCAGGTCACTAGACACATGATACAGGTCACTAGACACCAGGTCACTAGACATGTGATACAGGTCACTAGACACCAGGTCACTAGACACATGATACAGGTCACTAGACACCAGGTCACTAGACACATGATACAGGTCACTAGACACCAGGTCACTAGACACATGATACAGGTCACTAGACACCAGGTCACTAGACACATGATACAGGTCACTAGACACCAGGTCACTAGACATGTGATACAGGTCACTAGACACCAGGTCACTAGACACGTGATACAGGTCACTAGACACCAGGTCGCTAGACACATGATACAGGTCACTAGACACATGATACTGGTAACTAGACACCAGGTCACTAGACACATGATACAGGTCACTAGACACATGATACTGGTCACTAGACACATGATACAGGTCACTAGACACCAGGTCGCTAGACACATGAAACAGGTCACTAGACACATGATACTGGTCACTAGACACATGATACAGGTCACTAGACACCAGGTCACTAGACACATGATACAGGTCACTAGACACCAGGTCACTAGACATGTGATACAGGTCACTAGACACCAGGTCACTAGACACGTGATACAGGTCACTAGACACCAGGTCACTAGACACATGATACAGGTCACTATCCACATGATACAGGTCACTAGACAAATGATACAGGTCACTAGACACATGGTACAGGTCACTAGACACCAGGTCACTAGACATGATACAGGTCACTTGACACATGTTACAGGTCACTAGACACATGGTACAGGTCACTAGACTAGACACATGATACAGGTCACTAGACAGAGATTGTCACATGACAATGAAATTGAAGTTCATAAGTTTACGTTCTTCTGTATTCTTGAAATGATGTAAACACTGACGGACTATTTACACATTCCTGAGGAAACCCCTGGGAATTCCCCAGCATGAATAAACACAGAAGCCCACTTGCACAAAGCGATCCTAGCGCTAAGACTTTCGTAAGACTATGTTAAAGTATGGGAGTTACGATCATCTTAGTGCTGTTTTTCACCCACAACACACGATAAAGAGGAATAATACTATCTGGCGTACCTGGTAATCTTAAAGAACATGTCATATGTTGAAATACCTCCTGGAGTTACCCCAAAACATTTATTAATTTACATAATTCATATTTCAAAACAATCATGAAAATAATACTTCTGTAATCAAATCCAAACAATACTTTCAATGTCATACATGTTTGTTTCAGTTCCTGAAACCAGGGTGAAGCTGAAGAGAAGACGCAGCCAAGCTGCTTCAGATTATATCAATGCCAATTTTGTAACGGTAAATATGACATTTTGCTGACATCAGGAGCGACTAAAATAGAATCTTTAAACAGGGATATAGTAGACACAATAATGCAACATGACCAATGCAGTTGTTGGTGCTCACATTATCGACCACTTGGTCACCAACTCCAATTCTCAGCCGAGATATAACTGTCTATTGTAAATCTGATAAAAGAACTTGTTGGTTGTATTCTTAATTCTTTACACATGAATATTTATAATATTATAATGTAATATAATTCACATCCCAATCCATACTTGTCAACAACCTTCCTTATGTTTTAATGTACTTGTTTTAACTACAACTCAACATTTTCAAAATGCAATTTCAAAAGCAAATATTGTTAAATAATTATAAGTCAAAGCCATTCAGTTGAGACATATATTCAGGAACTAGTTAAATCAATGCCAATATTTTAGAAGTTATCATGACTTACTTACGACATTGACATCAACTTTCACGGTTTTCTTCCAACTAGGGTTACAATGATGACAAGCGAGCGTATGTTGCAACACAGGCACCACTGGACTCGACGGTGGCCGACTTCTGGCGCATGGTCTGGGAACAACAGTCGCGCGTCATCATCATGCTGACTGCAATGGAGGAAAACGGTCATGTGAGTTGTTTGCTCTACAGAACTGCAGCCACAGAGTACCCTCTGTGTGAATGGAACAGTGGCTTTATAATAAATATCCTCATCAATGAGATGGGTAATCTCAAATTTAGTCCATTGTGTCCAGATTTTGTTTATGTTTCCAAATGATTTGAATCCTCAGAGCATCCGTACATTTATTGATACTGTACAACATGTTTTCTCACAACAAGCATGCTCAAAGAAGAGGATTTTTGTTTTTTGTATTTTCTTGTTTGTTGTTTAACGCCACACTCAGCAATATTCCAGCTATATGACGGCGGTCTGTAAATAATTGAGTCTGGACAAGACAATCTTGTGATTGACAACATAAGCATTGATCCACGCAATTGGGATACAATGACATGCATCAACCAAGTCAGCGAGCCTGACCACCCGATCCCGTTTGTCGCCTTTTACAACAAGCATAGTCGCCTTTTACGGCAAGCATGGGTTGCTGAAGACCTATGCTACCCCGGATCTTAATGGGTTGATGGTAAAGGGGTTTGCTTATTGAGTGTCATTGTTGCAGCCCAAGTGTGCCCACTACCTGCCGGACTGTCTGGGAGACTCGCTACAGAGGTACGGGGACTTCATGATTCTCCTGAAGAAGAAAGATGTACACCAGGAATACATCATCTCCATATTGGAACTCAAGGATATTGAGGTGAGAACAGGCAGGGATAACATTCCTTCATCACAACATAGGGTTTTACTGAAGGAAGTTTAGGAAACGATGCAAATACTATTCACTGCATGTCTGGTGAGAAACAATCAATGCTCAGACATCCATGTCTGATTTTCTCCACTCAGTCGCTAAGGTTGATTCCGCTAAGGAAACCCACTCATAACAAGCATAATCATCATACACACTAGGGGTGAAACTATACAGCAAGGCGACGATAAGATACGTATCACGATACAAAGGTCACGATACAATAGATATTGCGATATGCATATTTACATCAATTGTGTGGAAACGTCCATCTTGACTATAATTATTTCAGAGCAGGCTGCAGACACACGTTCATTGCAGCTCTTTTTATAAGTGAACTTAATTACAACACATTTTGTGATTTTTGACCGACAAAAACACTGGGGAGTCATTAAACAAGAAGTAATGTATTTTAGCAAGTGTATCGTCTTGTATCGATACAGAAAAAAGTGTATCGTGTATTGCATCGTCTCATGAAAACTCATGATGCATCGGTGCACCGTTGTATCTTTTCACCTCTAACACATACCATGTATATTGCATGTTATTGCCTGCTGGTACAGTGGCCACCCTGCTGCACCCATTTTGACTAACCACGGGTCCAGTTGTCCTGTGGGTAGCCGGGTCCTACTCAGGACCCAGCCGACCCGAATACCAGCGTTACCTGTCCCTGCCCTAGTATGATGGTCTTTAGCAATAATTAGATGTATCTGAGCTGTGTGTTTGAAGTCAGTTAGCGATTCAACACTCAGCAGCACACACTAGGGCTGGGACGAGTCCGAATTTACTATCCGAATTTACACCACACAATTACCCTTCCCAGGTACCCACTGTAGGTCTCAAGAGATTAGGGCTGCAACGATACAGGAAGGTCACGATACGATACGCATCTCGATATTCTGGTCACGATACGATACGTATCTCGATACGCAATGATAAAAAAACAAGACTTAAAGCATGTCAAGATTGAACCTTTCATGATTTTGGAACAGTCGAAATTATTTTATAATAACAAGACTACTGAAGTTGTTCAGCTTCAAAGTGGAACTTTCTCTAACTTTCCTTAAAAACAATACAAAGTTCAAACACCAGAAAATAATTAATGTGCTCCACCAGTGATACAACGTCAAAGAACTTTGATGCAATGGTCGAAGAAATTATATCTGAATTTTTTGTTTTATCAGGAATACTATATTCCAATATCCTGTTACCTTAGTTGCAGCTCTTACTATATATATATATAAAATTATAAGAACCACAAGTGTAGCATTTTGGTACTGGTGATTGCTGTTGCAGGATATTTTTACTTATGGAACAATTTGACCAGTCACCCCAGGGACTTCCCGTGCTACATGTATTTCGATTGCGAAAACGTTATGTTGACATATATTAGCCAAATTGCCACAAATATGACTTTTGACGAGTCAAAGTAGGGCATTTATAATATATGTATCCATTCTCTAGCAACTAAAGTTCGTTTCAATGCGCCAAAAGCGGTAATCTGACCGTGGTTGCTGTATCTCTTCACACACGATTTCACCTAACTTAATGAAAACAATATTAAATAAAATTTTGAGTAAAATTAATAAAATATATTACAAACATAAGTCCAGATATATAATGAACACGTTTTAATAACAAGATAGTATAATAATGGTATTGAATTGCGTACTTCAGTTCAGATTTGCTGACAGGTATTTCCATTGTTATGTGCTTGCGGGGATCAGCTGATAATGTTTAATGAGATGGGGAAAAACATCTGTTGGTGTAAAACCTGAGCTTATTAAAAATGTAAGTACGTTTTGGGGAGCCATGCGTTACCACACGCTATAACCAAGTTAGCAGTTTATTGAAAGGCACAATAGCGAGGAAACGCTGTACTTGAGATTTGCGTTCCGTATCGCAGCGTTTCGATAAATGGGCCCACGTTTATCGTATATCGTATCGTGGGTCAAGTATCGCGATGCATCGGAATATCGGTGTATCGTTTCACCCTTACAAGAGATAGGTACAAAATGTCCGATTGGGCATTTTTTTACCATAGCACTGGCAAAACGTATTAACATACATGTATTAAACAATCTGGTCATGCATTCACTGAAGTTGACTCAAGTTATATTTTTAGTCAAAGATTTGAAAAGTCAGAAGGAATAGGTGCATAGTCAGAAAGAAATGCGAACATTTGTGACTTGTAGTGTAACCATAGAGTTCTAGATAGTTTTTGGCATTAAACAATGTATCACGTGACTAACCACGGGTCCGGGTAGTCCTGTGGGGACCCAGGTCCTACTGAGTATCCACCCGACCCGGGTACCCGAGTTACCCGTCACAGCCCAAGCACACACATTACAATCTGGATCTGAGGGGTCAAGAAGAGAAGAGAATATCAAAATGACACTCAAATTGCTGATAAGAAATACTGACACTACTGACACTGTTACACATTAGCAGCCCTGATACTGTGGTCAACATTTCAAGAGCCTGGTGTGTGTGTAACGTTTCAAGGATTGGTCATTATGAAAGACTACACATTACTTCAGTTTAAGAAGTCTGTATTTTCTTTGATAGTTGTTCAACTCAGCAATATTCCAGCTTTAAGATGGCAGTCTGAAAATAATTGTGTCTTGATCAGACAATCCAGTGATCAACATCATGAGCATCGATCCACGCAATTGGGATCCGAAGACATGGTTTAACGTCTGAATACTTCAATAAGACATAAAGATAAACAGCCAGGAAGGAACATCTGGGTCCTGTCTGAATACAGGACAATTCATTTTTCATTTTTGAAGCATCTGCACTTTTTGACAGGAGATGACAATGTAAGATAGGTAGTTTACTTAAATGGGTCATCATCATTCTTGTAAAAATAAACTAAGAATTCAGAATTTTGTACCCTAGTTTTGCGAACAAAACCCCCCCCACATATATGCACACTCTAATGTATATATCACATTAATTAGAATTAAGACGTAGGTAGATGATTTTTTAAATGTGTTGACAGAACAATCTGGTACGAGAAGTGAAGCACTGCTGGTACACTGCCTGGCCGCAACATGGCGGCCCGGAGCCTATATCCCTGGTCAAGTTCATCCTGGACACCAGGGTCTTCTATGAGGACAGTGGGGCGCCGCTTATAGTGCACTGCAGGTAACCATGGCAACCCATCATACAGTCGTCAACACATGAAACACTAGGACAATATTTGCACATTTACAACATAAACTTTAATTATGTTTCTAAAACGTTTACACATTTTTTCAATTATGAAGGCCAAGGGAAAAACACAGTTCTTATTATACCCCTTCTTTTGAAAAAAAACTTTCTTTCTCTGTTAAATCCAGGACCAAAGTTTAACAGTCTTATCCCTTGAATCTGAAAACAACTGCTTAGTTCAAGAGTTTGTAATGGTTTTCTTAACTGGCACACATTTAAACCCCCCCCCACCCCACCCCACCCCCACCCCCCACTCTAAGTCTGATACCCCCTGGGTCAATTCATGCAGCGTCAGATGTAAAGTCTGCAAACAAATCAGCTGCAGAAGTGCGCCCTTGCTATAGGGAGATTTTACTGCCTCTTCACACACCATTGTAAACAGTGAAGGAAGAAAGCAGGTGGGCCCACCATGATTGTTTTCTGGGTGCTGTAGGATCAAGTTCCAAATGTTGCGAATCATAGTTAGAGCATGTCTGTTGTTCTCCATCAGCCCAGGAACAGGAAGAACAGGAACATTCATCGGGACGGACCTCTGCATGCGTCAATACGAGAACAGGCGTATTGTTGATATCCTCCACACCGTGTTCCGGCTACGGAAGGAGCGTGCTGGATCAGTGCAGACGAAGGAGCAGTATACGTTGATATATAATGTAAGTAGCAGCAACACAGAGGAACATGTTCTCCCTGAATAGGTGAGCAATCACTGAAACATGATGACACCAGGGCTTTTCTGCACGCAAAGTACTGCATCCTACACGTATAAAGAATAACACTGGACACAATTTATATCCACTGCAAGTCCAATATTGATTATCCCCTTGTTGTCAAACCTTACCTATGTTATCACACTCACATATGCAATTGTTGTTACTGTTAATCCTCTGCTGTTATTCCTCCACCTACTTTATATATTCTGTACTAAGTCCCCCATTCAGTCTTGCTTGACAACGGTATAAGGATCTATACCGAAACGTCGCTTTTTACAGTATTAAAGACGTTGTTATCCGTAAAATTGGGTCTAAATTGTCATCCGTCAACTTCTAAGTAATGCCTATCAAACAATCCAATATTGATGTTGGAATAATTGAAACTAATAAATTGAAACATGTCAGTTTGATTTATCTGATATTTCTGTTCTGACAACAAATACAATCAAATATATCCTAAAACGCAAAATGCAATAGTTCAGCACTTGTCTGACGTGCATACAATTTTTCACAAAGAATAAACATCAAACAATTTATGTGGTATGCTCCAGAATTTGTAAATGAACGCTACTGTCATTTGAAGTTTAGCTCATCGTGTTGCCTTGACAACACAACTGAAAAAAATAGTGCCACAGTGCAGCTAAAGATTCCTGTATAGCAAACATCATCAGTTCATCACTTGCTTGCTGTGTACTAAACCAATCCCATGCACTTGGTATCACAATCCAATAAATATGCAAATGAGGTCACCTGCCAGGAACTACTTTTACTCAGCTCTATGTCAATGTGAGACCTACTTGCAAAAACCTATTACCACTTCATAACATTCCCTAAATGTTTCGACAGAGGTCTTTCAATGTGTGACGTGAAAAACTGCAAACTTGAGGTCCGAAACACAACTATGATACCCGTATCAAATACATCACAATCGAATAACCATTTCTTGTTTGTTTCTTTTTAGCCACCAGCAAACATGGGTGTATATTTCTTTTGCCCAGCAGTTTATTATTACCCTTGTGTGCCGAAGACTGGCATAAAACAATTTTTAATCCAAATATATTATATTTATGATATGAAAACACATTCGGCTGCTAATCTCTATCTCGATACATGGGGATAACCTGTGGGAAGGACAATAGTAAGAACCCTAAACACACTTGAACTTTTAAAGGTCAAGGACAATGCTGATAGCATCAGAGGTAATACTGTATCAATAATACACCGAGTCATGTCAAAACTTTAAACAAAATGCAATCTCATTAAAATCAGATCTTAGTTCTCGCTACCGCAAAACAAAGATCTTAGGACATCCCATTAGGGGTCACGTCAGAACGACATTTCATCCGACCAATCAGAGTGTCGCTTACTAGATCATGAAAGTGTCAGTCGGAATGTGATTTCATTTCATGCGACGTCGAAAACCTCAACACGGGGTATTCCGGACGATAGTTACGAGCTAAACAACTGAATCCATACAATCTAGACCATCTGTTAGCCATTCCAGAATGTTCTTTTGTTCAGGTTTCAACTTTTTAATCGAGTATTTGTCAAAATATGTTTCGAAGCGTAGTCGCCAATTTGAAATTAGTGCCATAAAGCACGAGAAAGCTGCCTTCTGATTGGCTAATGTCGACTTCTTCTCAGTCATTCCATTGGTCAGTCAAAGTTCGCGAAAGGTCAGTCTGACGTGACCCGTAATGGGATGTCCTCAGATCTTTGTTTAGCGGTAGCGAGAACTAAGATATGATTTTAATGAGATTGAACAAGATAAGGGCTGGGACGAGTCCAAATTTACTACCCGGGTACCCGCCCAACTATTACCCGACCCTACCCGGGCACCCACTGTAGGTCTCAGGAGATGTCTCAAAATGTGCCAATGGGAACATTTTTAGCATGGCCCTAGCAAAACGTGTTAAAATACATGTATTAAACAATCTGGTCATTCATACACTGAAGTTGAATTAAGTTATATCTTTATTCAACCATATGAATAATCAGAAAGAATGGGTGCATAGTCAGAAAGAAATGCGAACATTAGTTACTTGTAGTGTAACCATAGAGTTCTAGATTATTTTGGTCATTAAACAATATATCACGTGACTAACCACGGGTCCGGGTAGTCATGTGGGTACCCGGGTCCTACTCAGTACCCACCCGACCCGGGTACCCGTGTTACCCGTCCCACCCCTAAACAAGATACAATGTACACAATGATCACAAAAGTACATTACTTTTTTGCTACTTCAGAAAACACCAATATGTTTTTTCATTCCATCTGGATTCACCTTATTTTACCTGTAATTTCATTGTTAACAATGTCTTTGTCACATCACAATTCCAACTTGTGTCATAACAAAGATTTATTTCTACCTATGATGTAAGACTTTGTGGTGTTATAAGCTATATCTGACAGGAGAGTGACATACTACACTTGCCGACAGTGTGTGTAACTCAAGGGCAGTATACTCATTAATACCCTGGAGCAATAGGCAGGCATCTGCACAGCAGAAAGTTAGAGGGTAGTTTCCACATGGTCTTACCATATCTATCCCACTTTATGTGTTGTTTTTAATTTGAATTATATAATTCCAAATATCACTTATTTACTTTAATTGGGTTCAATTTCAGAATTATTTCAATCAATTTATTATTTGTTGCCTAGAATTAATTGGTGCTTTCAATACAATCATATTGAAAATTATCTCATATCATATATCTCTATTTAAACTATTCAGTGTTAATTTGTATTACATTTCTTTTATTTGAAGGAAAAAACGTATCTAAAAAACTGTGAAAATAAATTAAGAAAGTCAGGCATCCAGGAGTTCATTTTAAGCACAAACTAATCTGTGTGAATTGATCTAACTTCTGACCGCCTCTGTGGTCTAATGGTAAAGCGTCCGCCCGGAGAGCGGAAGGTCCAGGGTTCGATCCCCGTGCCATACCAAAAGACGTTAAAAGCTGGTACTTGTTGTTAGGGTAGGGGCTAAAACAAGGACTGGTCGGCTCAGAGTCAGTATACAGTGTCTGAGTGGGGTATTCATGTTATGGTATCTCAGTGGGCTAGCACTATAAATCGCCATCAGTTCGGGCAAGTACAAGCAGCCACACACATGCATGCACGTCACTATGTAAGTGCAATAATCTTGGATGCAACGTTAAACCCCATTTCACCTCGCCACCGCATGCTCTCCTTGTAAGGTTACTAGTGTAGTGGATAGGGTTTCTGCCTGGAGAGCAGAGAGTTGGCAGTTCGATTTCCGTTTGTGTCATGCCAAAAGATGCTAAAAGATGGTACATGTACTTGTTACAAAAACAGAGATAATCAAGATAGCATACAGGATAGTACAAGGACATATTTCAGTGGTAAAAGACAACACCTCTCAATGTTTTGAATATCAATAAAACAACAGCCTGTAATTGTCAGAATTGTAATGTTGTTCTTTCTGTGGTGGCAAATTCTAATTTCCATCACATTCTCATCAACCCAACAATATTATCCTCCATGCATAATAAACGTATTGTTCTCAAGTGCGTAGTACTTTTGGTATATTTAAATAAGTTTCCAGTCAATATGTTTTGCAGTAATATCTGTGTGCCCTGTATATTGTTAACAATAATACATATGCATAAGCATACAAACACCTGTCATATTGCAAGTGGGCTCAGTAATAGTGATGGGAGCAGTCTTTCCACTCCAATGAACATCCTGTTGATTTTACCTTACGAAGGAGTGTACCTTGAAATAATTGTGTGGTATGTGTAGATCTGTAAACCAACCAGATGTTCAAAATAATTATTCTACTGTTAGCTCTCATAACAATGTCTGCTAGAAGTAAAAATACTAAACGTTTTGTTGGATAGTTTTTCACAACAGACATAATCATTATATGAATGGTTAAATCTTTACTGCACAATTAGTTTCGTTTCATTACCTATGCACACTTTCCTGTTTTCAACTCCTGAAAATTACAGTCGGCTGACAATCAGTTCCAGATGACTAGATACATTGAAAAATTGTTCATTGGAATAGACAGGAATTGTGTGGTACTTGTACAAAAAATCACTTAGTGGCTGGCCGCTCACAGCTGATCAATGCTCAAAATACAGTATAGGTTTATTTAAGAATTGAACTTCAGTTTGGATGGGTTCATTGAAGTGTGAACGATTTAAAAGCGCTGGTTAAACTGTGTGAAGCTCCGAGCTTGCGAACCAAAGCACTTATTTATTTATAAGTCAGATGAAATGTTACAAGACCAGGCAAAAATACTTAATTAATTATATTGCTGATAAATGCAGGGATTAAAAAGAAAATAGAAAAACGAGTTGATCATAAACACAGATCGAGAATTCGGGGAAGCCCCGGAAAGTAGTCCCGGCAATAGTTCACAGTTGTGTGAACTCCAAATATCAGATCACGTGACTACCCAATCAGCCAATCAGCATGAAAGAAACAGTGTAAACTTCAAAGTATGAAATTATTCATGAATAAAGTGCTGAGCATGATGAATGGGATGTTCATGAACAAGTTTAAGTGTTGTTGTTTCACAACATGGCAGTGTAGCAAGTGCCGTGTGACGTGTTGCTGTTTCACAACATGGCAGTGTAGCAAGTGCCGTGTTGCTGTTTCACAACATGGCAGTGTAGCAAGTGCCGTGTGACGTGTTGTTGTTTCACAACATGGCAGTGTAGCAAGTGCCGTGTCACGTGTTGTTGTTTCACAACATGGCAGTGCAGCAAGTGCCGTGTCACGTGTTGTTGTTTCACAACATGGCAGTGTAGCAAGTGCCGTGTGACGTGTTGCTGTTTCACAACATGGCAGTGTAGCAAGTGCCGTGTTGTTGTTTCACAACATGGCAGTGTAGCAAGTGCCGTGTGACGTGTTGTTGTTTCACAACATGGCAGTGTAGCAAGTGCCGTGTCACGTGTTGTTGTTTCACAACATGGCAGTGTAGCAGGTGCCGTGTGACGTGTTGTTGTTTCACAACATGGCAGTGTAGCAAGTGCCGTGTTGTTGTTTCACAACATGGCAGTGTAGCAAGTGCCGTGTGACGTGTTGTTGTTTCACAACATGGCAGTGTAGCAAGTGCCGTGTCACGTGTTGTTGTTTCACAACATGGCAGTGTAGCAAGTGCCGTGTGACGTGTTGTTGTTTCACAACATGGCAGTGTAGCAAGTGCCGTGTGACGTGTTGTTGTTTCACAACATGGCAGTGTAGCAAGTGCCGTGTGACGTGTTGTTGTTTCACAACATGGCAGTGTAGCAAGTGCCGTGTGACGTGTTGCTGTTTCACAACATGGCAGTGTAGCAAGTGCCGTGTGACGTGTTGTTGTTTCACAACATGGCAGTGTAGCAAGTGCCGTGTTGTTGTTTCACAACGTGGCAGTGTAGCAAGTGCCGTGTGACGTGTTGCTGTTTCACAACATGGCAGTGTAGCAAGTGCCGTGTTGTTGTTTCACAACGTGGCAGTGTAGCAAGTGCCGTGTCACGTGTTGTTGTTTCACAACATGGCAGTGCAGCAAGTGCCGTGTGACGTGTGACGTGTTGTTGTTTCATAACATGGCAGTGTAGCAAGTGCTGTGTGACGTGTTGTTTGTGTACCGCCAGAGCTGGAGAAGTACAAATCTGGACCACTTGATGTTTGTGCCTCTGTACATGAAGTCCCTCTTTAGGAGATTGGACAGTAGATTCTCTCAAGCTGTGTATTAATGTTTACAACATGAATTTACTAAAGCTGTGTGGAAATAAGTACAGTAATACCTTGACAATCAGGATACCCAGTTAGTCCACATACCCAGTTTGACCAAATGCAGTTTAACATGAATACCCCACTCAGACACAGTATACTTACTCTGAGCCGGCCAGTCCTTGTTTTAGCCCCTTAATGCCAAGCACCAGGCAGGGTAATAAGAGGTACATCTTTTAATATCTTTTGGAATGAAGCATCCGAGGATCGAACATCTGACATTCCGCTCTCTGGGCAGAAGCTCCATCCACTAGACCACAGAGACGGTCACCTATGTAGCTCTTGTAGCACAGTGTAGCTGTGCATGTGCAAGGTCATATCATTTGCCCTAACTCACTTATTAAATAAAAAAATAATAAATACAACTGCACAAGGATACAAACTATATCAAAAGTATAGTATGGTCTTGGGCTATTGCAAACATTCAACAAAAAGAATTTCCATAATCATAAGAAATCTCTTCTAAAAGCACAGTCCATTGCATGATTCTGACTATGTCACATGTCTATAAATCACTGGCAAATAGATGATGTTCATGAAAAGGTGAGAGTATCCTGTCCCCAATGGTGGCACCCATCACCAACATGCAAAGGCAAGTTAATTGTTCATCTGAAAAAATGTGAACAAATGGTACAAGTCAAATTTGGGAATTGCTTCAGATATTATTTTGGACACTGAGGTGACAAATTTGGAAATGTAACACAGCTGCAACACTGCTGACATAAAAACAACTTTATTCAAAGAATCTTCACCAATGCAGTATACATTTGTTCTGTTTCAGGCTCTGAATGAGTACGCTTCAGTGCTGAGCAGCCCTGCCATTTCTACAGCCTCATCATCAATGACCTTACACAGTGTGCCCTAAGATTGTGAACCTACACAAGTGTCTTTAGGACTGTGAATATGTGCCCAGGGAAATGTCATCAGGACTGTTAATGTGTGCCCAGGGAAATGTCATCAGGACTGTTAATGTGTGCCCAGGGAAATGTCATCAGGACTGTTAATGTGTGCCCAGGGAAACATCATTAGGACTGTTAATGTGTGCCCAGGGAAATGTCATCAGGACTGTTAATGTGTGCACAGCGAAACTTTATTAGGACTGTTAATGTGTGCACAGCGAAATGTCTTCAGGACTGTTAATGTGTGCCCAGGAAAATGTCATCAGGACTGTTAATGTGTGCCCAGGGAAACATCATTAGGACTGTTAATGTGTGCACAGCGAAATGTCATCAGGACTGTTAATGTGTGCCCAGGAAAATGTCATCAGGACTGTTAATGTGTGCCCAGGGAAATGTCATCAGGACTACAAATATGTGCCCAGGGAAATGTCATCAGGACTGTGAATGTGTGCACAGGGAAACATCATTAGGACTGTGAATTTGTGCCCAGGGAAATGTCATCAGGACTACGAATATGTGCCCAGGGAAATGTCATTAGGACTGTTAATATGTGCCCAGGGAAACATCATCAGGACTGTTAATGTGTGCCCAGGGAAACATCATTAGGACTGTCAATGTGTGCCCAGGGAAACATCATCAGGACTGTTAATATGTGCCCAGGGAAACATCATCAGGACTACGAATATGTGCCCAGGGAAACATCTTTAGGACTGTGTATGTGTGCTCAGGGAAACGTCATTAGAACTGTGAATGTGTGCCCAGGGAAACTGCATTAGAACTCTTAATGTATGCCAATGGAAACTTGATGAGGACTGTGATTGAGTGCCAAAGGAAACATCATTAGATATGTGAATGTTGGATATGGATATTCGGCTGATATTCATTTACAACTGTGCATGTATGGCCAGGGGGATATGTTAACTGGCACTGTGAATGTGCACCAAGGGAATCATCATTTAGGGCTGTGAACATATGCCTGGGAAACATCATTCATGGATTTGAATGTGCCTCTAAAAGAGTGTGAATGTGCCCCCAGTGAAACGTCATTCATTTGGATTCTGAATGGTGTTCCTAGAGAGATGTTATCTAGGACTGTGCTCGTATAAGGTCAGAAAGTATGGGCACATATTCAGAAGGAAATGCGATCATTAGTGACTTGTACTATAACCATAGAATTCCCGGTAATTTTTGTCATTAACAATGTATCACGTTCCTGTGGGTACCCGGGTCCTTCTCAGTACCCACCCATCCGAGTGCCTGAGTTACCTGTCCCAGCCCTAGTGCCCAATACAATCTCTCCTGTATGCCCCAGACCTGACAAAGGGCAGAAGAGAATCATGTGCCCGATGTGACTGGACATGCTATGCTCAGGGATTTGACTGTGTAGCTGGACCTGTCCAGTGTGACGTGACAAGGCCAGACCTGTCCAGTGTGACGTGACAAGGCCAGACCTGTCCGGTGTGACGTGACAAAGCCAGACCTGTCCAGTGTGACGTGACAAGGCCAGACCTGTCCAGTGTGACGTGACAAAGCCAGACCTGTCCAGTGTGACGTGACAAAGCCAGACCTGTCCAGTGTGACGTGACAAAGCCAGATCTGTACAGTGTGACGTGACAAAGCCAGATCTGTACAGTGTGACGTGACAAAGCCAGACCTGTCCAGTGTGACGTGACAAGGCCAGACCTGTCCAGTGTGACGTGACAAGGCCAGACCTGTCCAGTGTGACGTGACAAGGCCAGACCTGTCCAGTGTGACGTGACAAAGCCAGATCTGTACAGTGTGACGTGACAAAGCCAGACCTGTCCAGTGACGTGACAAAGTCATACAGGACTGATCATATATTTGGGATAACACTTTCTTATTAAAGTACAGATTCTCGTACTTTTTTAGGTTGAGTCCCTGCCAGAGTGAGACACCAAATCGCCAGCACACAAAGTCAGCAATCTAACCCACTCAGCCACCAAAGCTTCCACAAAAATGAAAGTCTGACAACTGGTAATCTAGATCTAGTCTAATAGTACTTAGATACCCCTCTGACAAATTGCCTGTTAATTGGCACGCCTCCCATGGACGAAAGCTATGACTGATCATAATCATCACAATGGACACAATGGGTTTGACAAATATTTTTTTTTCCCATGTCCCAGAAATTATGACCATACAGAATGCTCAAGACTATTTATCACAATAGTTTATCCTATGCAATCCTTCAACCTAATGTGCCAGTGAAAAAGGTGTGAACGTAACGTGCCCATTGAATAAGTGAGTAGACAATATGCCCATTGAATAAGTGAGTAGACAATGTGCCCATTGAATAAGTGAGTAGACAATATGCCCATTGAAATAAGTGAGTAGACAATATGCCCATTGAATAAGTGAGTAGACAATGTGCCTATTGAATAAGTGAGTAGACAATGTATCCATTGAATAAGTGAGAAGACAATGTGCCCATTGAATAAATGAGTAGACAATGTGCCCATTGAATAAGTGAGTAGACAATGTGCCCATTGAATAAGTGAGTAGACAATGTATCCATTGAATAAGTGAGAAGACAATGTGCCAATTGAATAAGTAAATAGACAATGTGCCCATTGAATAAGTGAGTAGACAATGTGCCCATTGAATAAGTGAGTAGACAATGTATCCATTGAATAAGTGATTAGACAATGTATCCATTGAATAAGTGAGTAGACAATGTATCCATTGAATAAGTGAGAAGACAATGTGCCCATTGAATAAGTGAGTAGACAATGTGCCCATTGAATAAGTGAGTAGACAATGTGCCCATTGAATAAGTGAGTAGACAATGGATTCATTGAATAAGTGAGAAGACAATGTTCCAATTGAATAAGTGAGCAGACAATGTGCCCATTGAATAAGTGGGTAGGCAATGTGCCCATTGAATAAGTGAGTAGACAATGTGCTCATACAAAAGGTGATAAGAGAACAGGGCACTCCAACATAAATTAAATCAAGAGTAGTTAATGTGGCTTCAGGACCGTCAGAGAGCGGATGTGTGCATCCTGTGTCAAACTGATAAACACTGTCAGACATATAAGTAGTTGCACATACAAGAGAGCTCCTCTAAAACTTCTTGCTTTATGAAGCTGAAATGTTGTGTATACACAATTTTAATTCAATTTTAAACATGGCTGCTATTGTCAGCCATGTTGAAAATGTCAATTTGGCTTGATATTTCCATGACTTGATACATCTCCAGATATCCCTAAATAGAATAGTGTTCAATGGCCAATGTGTTGCACTATTAACTAAGGTGTCATCTGTAATTCATCAGTCAATCAGTTTATTCAGTACTTAAAAGGCCACAGGCCTATAGTACAATGCGTATTTACATGTAGGTGACGTGGTTGTTAACTAACAATTCTGTTTCTATGTGACATAGCGATTTAGATGTTCCTCTCACAACCTGTATATAGAGACTGGTAGATATAATCACACTGATAGAAGAGACAGAATATGCACATTGTGTAACACAAATTCAATTGAAGATGAGTTTCACTTTCTCCTAGTATGTCAAGCTTACAAACATTTATGTGATAAATATTTGCCATCTTTCTACTCTGTACACCCGAATATCCATAAGTTTGTAGATCTTTTAACTTCATCTGTCATTCATTCAAACATTAAGATCATGTGACAAATCAACAACTTCAGTTTGGGCATTAGAACATTTACATTTTACACCACATCAGGAAATCCATCTTGAACAAGCAAGCCACAAGCTGTTTTCATAGTGTGGTTATATCCAGTGCTATGTGATACTAACCGTATGTCACCCCACCAGGCAAAGTGTTAGCTTTACTGCAGATTGTATTGCAAAATACCTTATCTTTTCTGCTGAGGTATCTAAGGTAGAAGAAAAGTCTTGATTTAATTCTCCATAAATCCTCTGTAAATATAATTATCAAGGGAAATATGCCTGCATTAACTGTTTATATTGTAAAGATAGAATATATGTTTGCTATTATAGTTGCTGGTAGGCAAGGGGACTCATTATGCTAGCAAAACATGAGGGCTAGTCAGGGATGATATAAACCAATAATGGAATTACAGTAGGGAAGGGGGAATACACCTCTTTCACCAGACATGTTATTGACAGCAATTTTCCATGATATTTCCCTTTAAGTCTTTTGTGGTTCATTTCCAGAATGAGGTTCTTGCTTGATCACTATATTTAAAATCAAAACAAATAGTGACATTTATTGTCTCTGTCATTGTGTGTGTTCCAAATTCTACATGGCAGAGATTTCATTGTTGATACACGTTCATTATGTTTTACTGTTGATACAAGTCTTGTGTTTTCAGCTTTACCCGTAAGGATATACCTGTATGACCTTCTATAACACTATCACTGTGATGGCATTCAAGATGACATATTCCTTTATATATCCACTGAACAAGCAATTGATGAATGGTAACTACATATATCCTATGCCTATCAATGATATAAGGATGGTTTCAGGGGGTGTACTAACCAGACCCATATTACATCCCTTGCCAGGCTGATATGGCTTGTCAATGAATTTTGAATAGGCAATTGATATCAGCCTGGGTGGTAAGAAATTGGAGTTATGTCCCTTGGTGTGTCGTCTGCTCGGCTAGCTTTCCCGTGACAATGTCTTCCAAACGAGGTGAAACTGTATTGCTTTCACTTGCAAATAGATACATTTTACAACTTGATGTTCTGCTAGTTGTTTATTTTAAAAAGGTTATTATGTAGCAGTTGTCATATCATACCCTATTTCAACCCAAAACACCAATTTATCAGCCCGTGGATATCTTGGTTTGATATGGGGTATGATATGAAAACTGCCATATGATATCTTTCAAGGATCTATTTAATTGTGGATGTTTGAAGTTGTGTATCATATAGTTTGTATATAGCCTTTATATTGCTGTATATATCCTGTCAAGCAATCCTTTTCCAATATGTGCCAAATCCTGTACATAGACACCTGCTCAATACTCTCCAGACCTAATTTTTTCAGTGTTTTAACGACTGTTTTCAGCCTTGCAATGTTTGATAACTCTTGTAAATGTTTGGTCATATCCAAATTTCAAGCATTTACTTTCTTTTATGCGGCAGATTTGCCGGGGGCAACAACTCTGGCCCTTGACAGTATAGCAAGTTATTAACATTTTGCTTTAACAATCCTGTCTCACAACCATTTGGACCAAGAGCTAATTCTGTGATTCCTTGTTGGAGAACTCCATGTATTACCAGTGACACTGTTAGAGACGACCTATTCTACTTCTCCCCTCTTCTTACAACTAGGTTCCGCTTCATGATGCTTCAATAGGCCGCACCAATTTAAGACTAAATAATGTTGTTTGTATAAAGTATATTTTTAATCAAACACTGATTTCTAACATTTTTCTTCTTCTCACGTTTGCAATATTAGCACAGGCTTGTCCCTCAAATAGGAATAAGCTTACAATAAAAAAATAATAAATACAAATGTCAGGAAGGAAACATGTACCGGTATGCATCATCTTCACAAATTGTTTCTTGTTTTGTTTTGATGAGCGGAGAGCATAATACACTGAAATATGGTACAGTTACTTACAGGGTACAATTTCATTCTGTTTTACCACCAGCACCAGGTGCAACAAGTAATTTATCAGGCTGCACCACCATAATATTGGCAGCACTGGTTTATCATAAATAGAAACACTGTATTTTCAGTTATTTTGAATATGCTTCAGTATTTTATTTTGGGTAAATCACATCATGATATCGAGTAAACAACCTTAAAAAGAAGTTTCAAAGTGTCTGTTTGATGTGATTGTAACCTCATGAGTGACTGTTCTAGTGAAGAATTAGTTCTGCAAGTTCACTGCATGCAGACCTGTGTATTTCACTATTTTCAGGAACTTTTGTTTCCTGGATTTGAAAAGATTTGCAGCCAGTTCTAAATGAATTCAGTTTTCTACTTTAATCAAATATAACTGCTGCCGTGCACTTGTGGTTAGAAATGTTACCTGCACTGGGTGCAACCTGGCAATAAAAGTTACCTGCACTTGCAATTGTTTTACCTGCACTGGTGCAGCTTGGATATAGCGAAATCAATCCCTGACTTAGATTACTAAAGATATGCTACACAAACCACCATAGCCTTCACCATTATGTTGAACCAATGCTTTTCCAGGCCAATGACAACTAATTCAGTTTGACATATTCCTGGAAAACTGGTATAAACTTCGTTGGAACACATTTCAAAGTATGACTGGAATTAACAATGGCAATGAACTTTGTGAGTTATACACATTTAAATGTACATTTTATATTCAGTGTTATTATATCAGCTGGACTGTGTTACTATGGTAATTATGACAGTTATAACACATTATAACCACGTGGTTATGTTAATGGTGATACAATGTTGAAATACTGAGGACTGCTTTGAATATTTAATCTGATGAATTCATGAAATTGCACTTAAATCAATGTCTGCATGAACAAACCATTGCCATGAAAAATACAAACCATCAAGTTCTCCCCTCTAAATAGATCATCAGAAGCAAGCAATATTTTAACCTTTTTCGGTTTTATATGGAAAAAATATGATACAAATCTTTTATCCAGAAAGAAAATCCACTTCTCAAAGAGATTAACTTGTTGTTTGTAATGTTTCTTTAATAAAGTGTCTTATGATGGATGAATAGGGCATTTTAACAATACTGTACTGTTTCAGTTGAAACCCATGTTGTGATTTAAGTTCAGGAATTATCACATGAAATGATACATAATTCTCTAATAGTGATATGAATGTCTTGTCATTTTGTAGTTTGTTATCTGTGTATTTGTTGCATGTAAATACATGTTTTATTTGTATATTTTGATGAAAAGGATTCAAATGAAGTTTGTATATTGATCACTGAAATTAAAACATAATAACATCAAGTTATGTCTTGTGTTGTGGTCTGGAGTTTTTGTTGGACTAATTTTGACATCTTAATGATTTGTTTGTTGTTTAACCCTACATTTAGCAATATTCCAGCTATTTGATGGCGGTCTGTAAGTCACTTATTCTGCAGCAGACACCCAGCGCAATGTCCCACGCCATCAGGGTACGATGACAGTCTCACACCCAATCAACCAAGTCACTGAGCCTGACCACCCGATCCACGCAGTCACCTCGTCTATCAAGCATAGGTCGCTATGCAATCAGCAATATTCCTGCTATTTGATGGCGGTCTGTAAGTCACTTATTCTGCAGCAGACACCCAGCGCAATGTTCCTCACCATCAGGGTACGATGACAGTCTCACACCCAATCAACCAAGGTACTGAGCCTGACCACACGATCCACGCAGTCACCTCATCTATCAAGCATAGGTTGCTGGGGACCTATTCTAATCTGGAATCCTCATGTTGTGATAATTCAAATTCTTTATTATTAATCATAGAGCCTTCATTCTCAGTTTCCTTGACACGTTGTGAGTAGCCCTTGTTACTTGTTAACTACACAGTTCAAGGCGAGTGTTTGTTTGTTTGTTGTTTAACACCGCACTCAGCAATATTCCAGCTATATGACGGTGGTCTGTAAACATGCATGAACCAAGTCAGCGAACCTGACCACCCGATCCCGCGAGTTGCCTTACGACAAGCATAGTCGCCTTTTACGGCAAGAATGGGATGCTCAAGACCTATTTCACCCCGGATCTTCACGGG